TCTTTAATGTGTCGTGCCCCCAACAGTTTCTCGACCTCCTGCTCGATGATCTTGTCCATCTCCGCACCATGGTGCCTTCTTTTCTGCTTCACCGGCCTCACGCTGAGGTCGATGTTTAGACGGTGCTCGATCACCTCCGCACTTATTCCCGTTAACTCCTCTGCTGTATAGGCAAAAACATCAGCGAACTCCCTAACCAACTTTATCAGCCTCGACTGAATAGGCTCTCCCAGATCCTTTCTGATCCTGAACTTTCTCCCTTCACACCCCTCGATCATTTGAATCTCATCGACTTCTTCCCCAGGTTGGATATCCATTTTCTCCTTTCCTTTCTCCACTTTCTGTTTATCCTCATTCGACCTCGATCCCCCTTGTCGATTAATCTCCTCCCCCTTAGAGTCGGCCTGCCTCTTTGCCAATTGCTTGTTATTGCTGATTGTCGTTTGGTAGCAACTTCTCGAAGTGAGCTGATCCCCAGCAATCTTCCCTACGTTTTCGCCCACCGGATATTTGATCGTCATGTGGTACGTGGATACGACCGCCTGGAATGCATTCAAGCTCGTCCGCCCCATGATGATGTTATAGGACGACTCAGCCCCTACAATCACAAATCTCACCATGCGCACCTTCCTCAACTCTCCCGATCCCAATGCCACGGGCAAACTGACCTCTCCCATCGGCATAACTTCTCCCCCGTTAAAACCGTAGAGTGCCGTGGTCACCGGTTTCAGCTCCATATTCAGCTCCTTGTTAATCTGCACAAAGCAGTCATAGAACATCACATCTACCGAACTCCCGGTATCAATGAACACCCTCTTCACATCGAAGCCTGCGACCTCCGCGGTTATCACCAAAGCATCATTGTGCGGCAGGACCACTCCCTCGGCATCCTCCGCCTTAAAACTTATCACCGGCATGCGGGCCGTAATTCCCACCTCCTCTCTCTTCCTCTTCACCGCTCGAGCATGTTCCTTCCTCGCCCTATTCGAGTCACCATCAGTTGGCCCACTGGACATTATGTAAATAGTTCCTCTCTTCATCGGGGCCTCTCATCCATGTCCTCCCTTATCACCATCTCTCCTTGGCTTCTTTCCTCGACCGTCTCGACCATCTCCCTCCTCATCTCTATCGCTCCTTTCCTCCGAGTCTTCCCTACACCTTCTCCTTCCTTTCCTCTTCACCCTATCATGATACACAAATTCTTTCAAATATCCTGCTCGAATCAGCCTCTCGATCTCATCTTTCAAATGTCTGCAATTCTCTGTGGTGTGACCATAATCTCGGTGAAAGCAACAGTAAATATCTGACCTAGGTCGGATTGGGCCTGTAAACCTCGTTTTCGGCCAAGTCACATCCTCACTCGACATCTTCTGCTCCATGGCCTCGAGACCTCCGTCATGTCTTTCCTCAAGGGCGTGAAAGTGTGGTATCTCTGTCTCTCAAACAACATCGGCCTCCTCTGCCATTCATCCCTCTTCTCCCTTTTCGAATCTGGACTCTCTCTTCGGGGCGATGCCCTTTTCTGCCCACCCCGCTTGGGCGAATTCCTCCTCGGCGATCTCCTCCTCTGCGGACTTTTCTCCTTTTTTGGCTCTGGTCGAGCCACTCCCTCCAACTTGGCAAACTCCATCTCCATTTCCTCCAAGTTAATATACTTCCTGCACCGCTTCAGCACATCCTCATATGATCGAGCAGGGGTTTTTGCTAGGGAAGTTCGACAAGGCCCTGCTCGAAGACTCCTTATCAATCCACCCGCCTTCACTTCGTCCGAAGCCGAGTGCACCTCCAAGCATGTTTGGTTATATCGAGCAACATACTTCCTTAATGATTCCTTCTCCCCCTGTCTCATCGCCATCAAAGTCACATACGTTTTCTCCTGCACCACCGCTCGAATATTGATTGATAAGCTTGCCAGTAAAGTCCTCAAAGCTTGCGATCGACCCAAGTGGATGTTGATGAAACCAATCGAGTGCTCCTCCACGCAAAGTCGATAAAAATGCCCTGCAACAAACAGAATCAGAGTACCCATGCAGCACAGCTATATTTTCAAAGGTCCTCACATGCCTCGATGGGTCAGATGACCCATCATACACCAAGTTGGTCTCCTTGAAATTGTTTGGCAACGGAGCAGCGAGAATCTCCCTTGAAAAGGGATGTCCTCGAGATCTCCTCTCCGGCCTCCCCTCCACTTTATCTTGCAGTTGGCGCAACTGCTCCGCCATCCTCTCCATCGCCCGATCTCTTCCCGCTCCTCCTTCTCCATAACTAGACACATCCTCATCCTGGCTTCCGGCCACCGTGGTCGGTGCAGTGGTGGCATGAGAAGTATGACTCGCAACTTGTTGCACTGCCTGCGCCGCCGCAGCCGCCGCTATCCTTTGCATCTCCTCCCGGGTCATTGCCACCATTTGATGGCCAGGGGTTTGTACGGCTGCCTGTGGTGGCACTCCTCCTTGTGCCAGCACTCCTCCCTGCCGTTGCGTTGGATCTGGTGGTGGTGGTGGTGGCATCGCCGCTGCCGCTGCTACACGAGCCTCTTGGGCCTGACTGGAGCTGGCATCTCCGCTGGGAATCACCGTCGTCGCTCCTACACTTTGGAAGTTAGGTGCGGGAGTGACCGGAGTCTGCGATGGGCTAGAGAAACCCAGAGGAGGGTCGTGCCCCAATGGCCTGGTCGTCGTACAAGCTTCGTCGAACGTCGACTGCAAGTTTTTAGGAATTCCGTCCGCCATAGCTGAGCTTCAAACACAACTTTTTGAACAAAGAATCCCCACAGACGGCGCCAATAATGCAAGTGTAAGCGTCCTGGTCCGGTTTGAACGGATAGATCTTGGTCCTCACCGGTAGAACGCTGGAAACCTGCAAATAACTCTCACACTGGGGGTTGTGTCCGGTGAAGAGCCTCCGATGCTTAAGTCAGTATGTGTATGAGTGTACTGGAATTGAGAGAATGAATAGAATGTGTTTGGGAAGAAAAGCTCACCCCCTTTATATAGGGGTGAGATACCTGCCCTAAGAGCTGCCCGGATGAGGTGAGCTGGCTGCCCAAGCTGCCCGTCCGTACTCTGACACACCGCACACATGTCAGAGGTGGCACAGGACGTTGGGAGTCGTCAGAGGTAGTTATCACCATCACCCAATACATTGTCGACACGTGTTTCCCCAGCACATGGGGTAAATATTCTCTGGAGACTTCAGTCAGAGGCTCTCACGCGCGCCTATGAGACACGCGCCCATAACTAGGTCGATTATGAATTCCTCGAAGCGATCACCCTGCTGGGATGGACTAGCTTGCTCGATCACTTATCCGATTGAATGATAGACTGCTCGATGTACCTGATCGAGCATTGGACTGCTCGATTGCTTGTCTATTCGAGCCTTGAGCTGCTCGAGCGTCAACTCTCCCGCCTTTTTGGCTCGGCCTGCTTCTGGTTTGGCCTCCTCGACCGACCAAGTAGGCCGGTTTATCCTTGAGTATATAATATCCTATATCAGTATGGTTAGAGTATGAACATAAAACAATTACTCTGTCACGTCTCCTAATCACATCACAACATAATACCCACGTGTACACATCTTTCATTAGCCAAGGAAAGGGGATTCA